TTCCCTCCGGCCTGCTACAGCTCCTACGGGCTGTGCAGGGCGGCATCTCACCTGAACCACACGTCCTTTTCGGCTGTCTGGTTAGGGCCTTCTTCTGTTGTCGCTTGTTTTCTTCAAAATTTCTCATGGTCAGCTTTTAGCAGCATGACACTTAGAACATAGAGACAGCTGCATTACAGCTCCTCAACGCCTTCATTGCCCAAGCTGAGCCCCCTTCGCTCTACGTTTAAGAAAACCTCCTTGTTTCTTCTTTTGCTTGTAAGAATTGTGGAAGACGGTGTTTTGGTTTTGTTTTCTCATGAACGCTTTAGAATTTGTTTGAATGAAAATGAGAACTTGCCGACATTTTCTTCTTTACAAGAGCAAACCAAAGCCGCAGCTCCCAGACCAGCTCCGCAGCGGGTGCCGTTGCGCAAGGGCTACGCAGGTGTCCCTGGCAGTGATCCGCCCCCGTTCCTCCCCAGAACCGAGGCTGCCGTTAACCCAGCCTCACCACGAGGGAAACCGGTGTCCACAGGGGAGCCCTTCTGCCTTCTGGGTCTCTACTCCTTCTCTCACGTCAGCTTTGCTGAGTCTCTACGTTGGAGACGTGAAGGAAGCCACGCGCGTCCCCTGCTACCCGGTCTACGGAAATCTGGCAAGCGGTTTGTGATGCCTCGAGGGTGTACGGAAAGGGCAAGTTACCTGCCGTCCCTGGTGTCCCCAGACTTGAGGAGCTCGCAGTGACGTTTTTCAGATCCACCTTGCAGAAGGTCCACACGTTACATGTGGGACTGACATGAACGTCAAAAGACATCACAAGTCTTTGTGTTCAAGACCTTACGGAACTAGAGAAGGGCGCAGTCATCGGGAAAAACAGCAAGTGGAATCAAGAAAATCCATGTGGCTATGTCCCCTCAGCTCTCAGGGACCAGATTTGGTTCTTATCGGCAAAAACCAGGAGCAGCGCAAGGGGCTCTCCAGCGGCCCGGGCACAAGGCACAGCCGTCGCGCTCCTCCCCTCCTCGGTGTCGGCATCGCACGGAGGGAGGCCGATGCCCCGGTGGGAGCCGCGGCGCCGGTCCGAGGAGCTCAGCCGGACACAGCCAGGCTGGGGCTGGGGACACACCGATGGTGCCTCCGACATCCTGGGCACAGGCTCCTGCCCTGGTTGGCCCCAGCGCTGGAGCACCAGCGGTTTTGTTTCTCTGGGAATTGTTAGCAAGGGTTTTGGGTGCTGCATTCGCACCTTGGCCTGACTCACTTGGGCCATGTAAACTCCCTGAAGCTTTTACCAAAAATAGCATTCTTCACCTTCTTCCCACCCCAAAGAGTGGCACACATTGCAACACTGCTCAAACGTCCCCACTTCAAGCCCTAAAAACAGCCAGACGCTCTTTCTGCTGATATGTTCTCCAGCTGCCTAAGTTTGCCACGCACCCTGGGGACTTGGCAGTAAAAAACAACATATAAATATCACCGACGATTAGTGCCCCGTTGCTATTATTTCCGAGGTGCCTGTTACAGGAGCGACTGGCATGCCCTCATTTATGGGAGGGTGACTGGCAGCCTGTCACCCCGCTGCAGCGCTATCCTGCAAACGAGGCTATTTATTAACACTTCCTCTGCTCGTCTTCCCCAAGGCGCCTGTCTTCTCCGTCGCCTGAGGACCCCCTCCCTCCGCCCCGGCTGCGACCTGCAGGCGAAATTCAAATCGTGTGCCCCCGGGGGGGACCAGGAGCTGGCGGCGGCGCCCCGACGGGGAGGCTCGGCGCGAGGTCCCACC